AGACATACTTTGTTAATGCCACACGACATGGACTATTAAAACAAATTAGGCAGACCACGTTTGTTATACCTTCTCTCCAATCTCAGTCCTGTCTCCACCTTGAAGGATCTCTAGATCAGACTTGAGAGCACAGGCTTCAATGACTTTATCGTACTTCCTCCGATGAAACTCTGAACCAAACAGGATGTTGTCTCTGAGAGTTGCGTTCTGTATCCAAGCTTCTTGAGGGACATACGCCAAGGAGTTCTGTAGAATTACATAACGGGTGAGAATCCTTAACATTATTCATTTGAGAAACCCTTTCATAACATTCTTCTTTTTCTTCTTTTGTCTACTTCTTGAATGCCTCGCGGCTTCAGGGCAGGAAGAGATCTCTAGAACGGGCCCTTCTATTCTCTTCGTATAAAGTACTTTTCATTGTCTCTGATGTTTTTACGGTACATGTTCTGCTTGGTCACCTTTGGCTTTGTTCCCATTGTATCTGTATAGCATTGCTTGCTCTCTGTGATGCCCTGTCTGATGCCAATCTCGTTACATGGCCAAACCATTTGATTTGTTGTCTACCCTTAAAGTACCTTTCTTCTTCTTCTTCTTCTTCTTCTTCTTCTTCTTCTTCTTCTTCTTCTTCTTCTTCTTCTTCTTCTTCTTCTTCTTCTTCTTCTTCTTCTCTTCTTCTTCTTCTTTCTTCTTCTCCTCTTCTTCCTTCTCCTCTTCTTCCACTCTCTTTTTCTTCTTCTTTTTCTTTTTCTTTCTTCTTCTTTTTTCTTCTTCTTCTTCTTTCTTCTTCTTTCTTCTTCTTCTTCTTCTCTCTTCTTCTTCTTTTCTTCTTCTTCTTCTTCTTCTTCTTCTTCTTCTTCTTCTTCTTCTCTTCTTCTTCTTCTTCTTCTTCTTCTTCTTCTTCTTCTTCTTCTTCTTCTTCTTCTTCTTCTTCTTCTTCTTCTTCTCTTCTTCTTCTTCTTCTTCTTCGTCTTCTTCTCCGTCTTCTTCTTCTTCTTCTTCTTCTTCTTCTTCTTCTTATCATTCTTCTTCTTCTTCTTCTTCTTCTTCTTCTTTCTTCTTCTTCTTCTTCTTCTTCTCTTCTTCTTCTTCTTCTTCTTCTTCTTCTTCTTCTTCTTCTTCTTCTTCTTTTTCTTCTTCTTCTTCTTCTTTCTTCTTCTTCTTCTTCTTCTTCTTATTTCTTCCTCTTCTTTCCTCCTCTTCTTCTTCTTCTTCTTCTTCTTCTTCTCTTCTTCTTCTTCTTCTTCTTTCTTCTTCTTCGTCTTCTTCTTCTTCTTCTTCTTCTTCTTTCTTCTTCTTTTCTTGTTCTTTTTTCTTCTTTTTCTTCTTCTTCTTCTTTTTCTTGTTCTTCTTCTTCTTCTTCTTCTTCTTCTTCTTCTTCTTCTTCTTCTTCTTCTTTCTTCTTCTTCTTCTTCTCTTCTTATTCTTCTTCTTCTTCTTCTTCTTCTTCTTCTTCTTCTTCTTCTTCTTCTTCTTCTTCTTCTTCTTCTTCTTCTTCTTCTTCTTCTTCTTCTTCTTCTTCTTCTTCTTCTTCTTCTCTCTTCTTCTTCTTCTTATCTTCTTCTTCTTCTTTCTTCTTCTTCTTCTTCTTCTTCTTCTTCTTCTTTTCTTCTTATTCTTCTTTCTTCTTCTTCTTCTTCTTCTTCTTCTTCTTCTTCTTCTCTCTTCTTCTTCTTCTTCTTTCTTCTTCTTCTTTTCTTCTCTTCTTCTTCTTCTTCTTCTTCTTTCTTCTTCATAGTCTGCTTCTTCTTATTCTTCCTCTTATTATTATGATTATTATTATTCGATTCGTCTGTCCGAAAATCCCTTTTTTAATTTTAGGAGACCATTAGCCTTTCCAAAAAGATGTCAAGCAGTCCAAGTGGCCCTGTGTACCCAACAGCTTTGTCTTCATTGAGGTTGGAGCAGGCCATTTTGGATCTCTGTGGTTTTGTGCAAATTGTCATCTCCAGCTTTGGGTTGAAAGCTCAACAAGACAAGGAAAAAAAAAAGACTGTTCTTATTAATAAGATTAAACAAGGCATGATAGACAGAAGCTGATATTGTTAGACAACACCTGTTGCAATAGAAAAACAAAAGAGCATACATTTATTGTAACACTGCCCCTGAGCTTGTGCATTTCTCCCATGATGGCAGAGAGTAGCAATGACTTGCCACATCCTACGCTGCCCACCACGGCCACCAGACTCCCTGGCTTCACTACCAGGTTGATGCTGTGGAAAATATAACCCACACTAGTGATACTGACTAACTACACAAACATAATCAAATATAACCTATACTGAGTTATACTGACTAACTACACAAATATAATCAAATATAACCCATACTCGTGATACTGACAACACAAATATAATCAATTATAACCCATACTCGTGATACTGATTGACTACACAAATATAATCAAATATAACCCATACTCGTGATACTGACTACACAAATATAATAAATTATAACCACTACTAGTGATACTGACTAACTACACAAAAATAATCAAATATAACCCATACTAGTGATACTGACTAACTACACAAATATAATCAAATATAACCCATACTGAGTGATACTGACTAACTACACAAACATAATAAATTATAACCCATACTAGTGATACTGACTAACTACACAAATATAATCAAATATAACCCATACTAGTGATACTGACTAACTACACAAATATAATCAAATATAACCCATACTCGTGATACTGACTAACCTCAAGGTTAGTTGCGTATCCTTTACAGTACGTTGCAAAACCAACCAAAACAGCCCCTACACAAATATAATCAATTATAACCCATACTCGTGATACTGATTGACTACACAAATATAATCAAATATAACCCATGCTCGTCTTACTGACTAACTACACAAATATAATCAAATATAACCCATACTGAGTGATACTGACTAACTACACAAATATAATCAAATATAACCTATACTGAGTGATACTGACTAACTACACAAATATAATCAAATATAACCCATACTGAGTGATACTGACTAACTACACAAATATAATCAAATATAACCCATACTGAGTGATACTGACTAACTACACAAATATAATCAAATATAACCCATACTGAGTGATACTGACTAACTACACAAATACAATCAAATATAACCCATACTGAGTGATACTGACTAACTACTCAAATATAATCAAATATAACCCATGCTCGTGATACTGACTGACCTCAAGGTTAGTTGCGTATCCTTTACAGGACGTTGCAAAACCAACCAAAACAGCCCCTGGGTGTTGTGTGGTTTTTCTAGGTAAATTTACGTCCAGTAGTTTGCCATTGCTTACTGGACGGTCGGTTTCTTTGATACCACTGTCGAAAATTACGCAAGGCGCATGGCCCGCAGCTGGGATTGACCCGGCATCCCGGCATTACGGAGCCACAGAGCCGACACTAACTAACTAACAAATTTAATCAAATATAACCCATTCTTAGTGATACTGATTACACAAATATGATACAGTATAACCCATGCTCGTGATACCGATTGACTACACAATAATAATAAAACATAATTTATACTCTTGATACTGACTAACCACACAAATATAATTTTTGTCCTACTACAGATAAATAAATTTGATTGTCTGTGTAGATGTGTAAGTGTATGAATGCCATTGCACAGCAGAAGTTAGCTGAAGCGCAGCTACAGCTATGACTAAAAATATCACGTGGTGAAACTTCACTCGCTTTCACGGTGCGACTCTCTTACAACTTCCGATAGCCACGAGAACAATCTGCATATAGATATGTATATACATATTATATATATACATTATATATATATATATATATATATATATATATATATATATATATATATATATATAATGTATATATATAATGTATATATATAATATGTATAGTTTCCGAGTAAAGATTCTTCGAGAGATCGCACGCGAACAAGGAGAACCAAATATAAATACACAGATGGCTAATATATATATATATATATCGAACCTTGGCAAGTCTGAGAACTGGACGGTTAAATGATTTCACTAACCTTTTAGTAAGAGAGCCGCTCTTCTAAATAAATAGTTTACGTTAGTTTCCCAACCCATAAATCTAGCTTAGCCATCTGTGTATTTATATTTGGTTCTCCTTGTTCCGTGCGATCTCTCGAAGAATCTTTACTCGGAAACTGACATTTTTGGGTCATATCAAGCGCTACGGCGGATTGGGGTACAACAAAAAGCAGAATGGCATGGTACCAGGAAGGAGGAGCAGGGACCGACCGACACGAAGATGTTCACAGGATATAAGTGCCTCCTTGACTATCAACGTGCATGAGGCTGAAGAGCTGACGAGAGAATGAGTTTTTTTCAGGCAGACCGTGATGAGAGCACCTGGCCCATGAGGATGCTAGTGAATCTTTCGAAAATCAGTGTACACTGTAGATGAGCCTGCATCGTGCGCGGTATTTGCAATGATTTCCAGTGGCTCTGCCTGCTCAAGATAACTGAGCCTCAACAGATAAAACCTGGTGCAATGAAGTGGAACCTCTCAGTTTTAATGTTATGTTGTAATGCGTTATGTTATGTTGTATTGCGTTATGTTATATTATGGCAGTCAGCGTCACTGCACACTTGGGCATTACCATGCGTGCTCAGTCCGCCGATGCAGCCGCCACTCCAGGGTACCTGTACTGATTGTTCCCATGAGGAGTTGGTAATGTCTCTTATCTCGGCATCGAAGGTGTCATAGACGTGCTTTCATCGTGCTTTATTTTCAAGTCGCGCAACCGTTTTAGTCTCACTTTTAATGCCTATGTGTGTGTTTGTGGTGTGTGTGTGTGTGTGTGGTGTGGTGTGTGGTGTGGGTATGTGTGTGGGTGTGTGTGGGTGGGTGTTTAGGGATGGGTGTGTGTTGTTTCTAAAGTTATTTGGTCAGTACAGGACTTTTCTGTGACACCATGACATTGGGCATAATGTGCTAGACCCACGTGTCTATACAGTGGACGTCTCATGTGATCAACATCACAACGCCACCTTTACTTCCACTCATTTCATGTGTACCCGTTTTAGGCTAAGTCGACCTGGGAGCCAGGATCAAGTTCTGTAAGTGAAGAACAGTAATTTGAAGCGAAATATTGATTTACTCTCTCAAGGTTGGCAAAACTTGCTCTTTATCCCAGGTAAACTCGCCATCGGAAACAGTGACTGCATTCTCTGTGAAGTAGTCATTAAACAACAGTCAGGAAATTATTAAACAGTAGTCATTAAACAGTAGTCATTAAACAGTAGACATAACACAGTAGTCAATACACAGTAGTCATTACATTAGTAATCATTACGCAGTAGTCATTAAACAGTAGTCATTAAACAGTAGCCATTAAATAGTAGCCATTAAACAGTAGTCATTAAACAGTAAACATAACATAGTAGTCATTACACAGTAGTCAATGCACAGTAGCATTACACAGTAGTCATTAATTAGTAGTCATTGAACAGTAGTCATTAATTAGTAGTTATTAATTAGGAGCCATTAAACAGTAGTCATTTAACTTTAGTCATTAAACAGTAGACATTAAACAGTAATCATTACACAGTAGTCATTATACAGTAGTCACTACATAGTAGTCATTACACAGTAGTCATTAATTAGTAGTTAATAATTAGTAGTCATTAAAAAGTAGACATTAAACAGTAGTCATTGCACAGTAGTCATTAAACAGTAGACATTAAACAGTAGACATTAAACAGTAGTCATTACACAGTAGTCATTACACAGTAGTCATTATACCGTAGTCATTAAATCGTAGTCATTAAACAGTAGTCATTAAACAGTAGTCACTACACAGTAGTCACTAAACAGTAGTCATTAAGCCGAAATCATTAACAGTAGTCAGTAAGCAGTAGTCATTGACAGTGGTAATTAAATAGTGGACATTAAAAAGTAGTCTTTACACATAGTCATTAATTGGTAGTTATTAATTAGTAGTCATTAAACAGTGGTCATTAACAGTAGTCAGTAAGCAGTAGTTCTTGACAGTGGTAATTAAATAGTAGTCATTAAACAGTAGTCATTACAAAGTAGTCATTACAAAGTAGTAATCAATTAGTAGGTAATAATTAGTAGTCATTAAACAATAGTCATTAAACAGTAGTCAGTAAGCAGAATTCAATAAGCAGTAGCCTTAACAGTGGTCATTAAACCGTAGTCATTATAGTCATTATAGTTATCAAATCGTAGTCATTAAACAGTAGTCATTAAACATTAGTCATTATTAGTAGTTAATAACTTGTAGTCATTAAACAGTAGGCATTTAAACAGAAGTCAGTAAGCAGTATTCAACAAGCAGTAGTCTTTAACAGTGGTCATTAAACCATAGTCACTAATCCATAGTCATTAAACCGTAGTCATTATACCATAGTCATTATGCCGTAGTCATTTAAACCGGATTCATTAGGCCGTAGTCACTAAACCGTAGTCAATAAACAGTAGTCAGTAAACCATGGTCTTAAAATGTTAGTCATTATAGCGTAGTCATTAAACCGAAGTAATTAAACAGTAGTCATTAAACAGTAGTCATAAAGCAGTAAGTAGTCACGAAAGAAGGCTATTGCTGCGGTCACTAATTATCTGAGCCTAATTATGGTCATTATGGTCTAGACAGCATATTACAGATAAGAGTGACCAGGGAATCTGATCGACCCTCTACACTCAATGGCCAGGCAAGAAGGACATATCAAACTGCAACTCGCAACACCGGAAATGGAACACTTCGCTGGCTGCTAAAGATGGACACGGAGTGCTTATGAGAGTGTCCCGGAAGCTGTGATATCAGTTCTAAAATCAACACTAAAACCAGCTTATAATCTGTAATTACCAGATTTTTTTTTTTTTTTTAAAATTCAAGTCGCAGTTTGCAGTATACCGAAAATGACAAATTATTTCTCCGGGTTCATCCAAACGTACTAGCAAAGTGTTCTGAAAGCTACTGCCAGTGTCATCTTCCTCATCATCTTCATCATCATATCATAAGCATTATCCTCCTCCTCATCATCATCATCATTAACATCATCATCGTCAAATGCCTGTCTGGCTGGCATAGGGAACTTGTCTCTCAATAACCTCAAATCTGCAACACAACATATCCATGACACCTTTCTATGCCTTGACAAAATGCTGTCAAGTATTATATCGTGTTGTATTCTTTTATATCAGTAGACTCCAGCCTGGGGGACTTAACACTTTTCGGTGGGTGGGGGGAGGGGAACGTCAAACTGAAAGAGCGCATTTGTTATTGTATTAATCCTTTATACTGACATTTTGTTTGTTTAATTATGCATAAATTATTTTAACAACTATTTATTCAACAGAACAAGAATATTTTTGTTTTTATTAGCAGTTGTGTTAAATTGATTCAAGAAACAACGTCACAGCACTAGGGGCATTCCCATAAGCGCTCCATCCCCATTCTCAGCAGTCAGTGAAGAGTTCCAATACTAATGTTGCCAGTAGCAGTCTGATTAAACGTCCGTCTTGCCTTTCCTCTGAGCCTCGAGCATCTGCCAGAACCTCTCGCCCTTCCCCCCCCCCCCCCCCCCCCCCCAACTGCATCAATCTCACCAGACTGTGGTGATCCATCTGCTCCTACGAACTGTACATGCTCTCCCACAAGACACTATCCATGTCTGGCTTATCCTGTATCAGTATTCCATCAATTTGTGAAGAACCAGCCTGTCTGTCCGGCTGTTTATTTTCCAACACACTGGCGTCTTCCGGTGAAAAAAAAATTCAGACAAAACTCCTCACTCGCGTCCTCCACAGTGAAGCATGCCACTCTGCATGAAGCATGTCTGTCCTGACCTTCCTCAGCATGCTTTCTGAGTTAGTTACAATCACGATGTGTGTGTGTGTGTGTCGGGTTCTCTAACCAGCGGAAAGCTGCAATGACCGCCTCCACTTCCATTCTTAAGCTGGATGTTGTGGTATCATTTGCTAGGCTTTCCTGCACTAAATGTCGACCATTAACTTTTGCTAAGAAACCTCAAGCATTTATTTCTCTTCTTGACACCGAACCGTCTGTGTAAATAATCAAATCCTCTGAGCGAGTTTTATATTGAAATAATTGTTGAATTTCCATCTCCGTAGCACCTGTTGGCCAGTCTCTGCATTCCCGGCTCAGCATCATTATGATCCTACACAAGTCTGACTGTTCAGACAGCACTTTGACCTACTCCTCTCCTCGCCTAATGTTGTCAAATATGCAAACCTGTCTGATTGTGTCTTCTGCCTGAGCCATCCATGACCTCCCTCTTATCAGCCGCTGACCCTTAACTGCACCCAGAGCTTCGTGCAAAAGGTGGTCTGTGTCTGCTGCTACCTTGAGATATGACTTCGCCTGCAGCACATTGTGCCTGCCTGCAAAATTCGGCAAACAAAGAATGTATTGCATACACGCTACTGGTGTGTCTCTGGTGCAACCCAGAAGACCAGCATAGCCGCGTTCTGTATGCGCTCTAGTTTGTCCATCTGACTCTTTGAGACGGTAAGCAGTCCTAGGCCATAATCAACCACTGACAGGATCAGTTGCTGATATAGTGTGGAAAGAATTCTCTGCGTTATGTCAATTGCAGCCATAGTCTTAAGTGCACTAAGTCCTTTTGGCATCTTGTCACAACACTCTTCACATGGTCCTTAAATGACAGGCTCCTGTCAAATGTTATTCCCAGATACTTAAGTTTGCTCTCTCTCTCTCTCTCTCTCTCTCTCTCTCTCTCTCTCTCTCTCTCTCTCTCTCTCTCTCTCTCTCTCTGTTGACGTTTCTACCATCTATAGTGAGACTTGCAACATTAGCTCGAACGATCATGTTGTCTAGAGAACATCACAAAACAGGCGCCTTTTCCGGGTGGACGACAGCCCTCATTTCTGTACACCACTCAGTCACTTTGTCTACTGTCGCTTGTAGCTCCCGGGCTGTTTGTTCCCTTTCTACCCTGTTGCGATTTAACATGGATCACGCAGAGAGCTCGCATTTCCACGGCTAAAATGGATAAGATAAAATGAGTAAACACTTGTAGTGACAGTACAACCTGCTTTGGGATCTCTGGTAACTACATCAGGTTGGATGTCTTCTCTGCTGAGGTAGGCGGATATACGGGTGATCGAAACGCCGGCCTGGAAAACGAAATAAATACCAATGTTGTTTAAACGGGGGACAGTATATAATGTTCTTCGATTAGGTTTACAATTACATTTTTTGGCTCGGACAAATAAAAGTTAAGATTGTATAAATATGCGAGCTGAAGGATATTAAACGCCTGCTTGATTAAAGTTGAGAGAAGATGTAAATCTACATGATTGGAGCTAAGTGAGAATGTAAATCTATATGCCTGAAGCTGAGGTAGAATGTAAATCTCTATGATTGGAGCTGAGGGAGAATGTAAATCTACATGACTGAAGCTGAAGGAGAATGTAAATATCCAGGACTGAGGATACAGGAGAAAGTAAATCTAGAGGATTGGAGCTGAGGGGTAATGTAAATCTACATGACTGAAGCTAAGGGATGATGTAAATTTATATAAGTAAAGCTGAAGGATAATGTAAATCTACATGACTAAAGCTGAGGCAGAATGTAAATCTACACGACTAAAGGTGATGGAGAATGTAAGTCTACATGACTCATAACTGATGCAACAGTAAATGTAAATCTACATGACTGAAGCTGAGAGATAATGTATATCTATATGACTGGAGCTGAGGTAGAATATAAATCTATATGAAGGGAGACTTACATTAACTTGATATGAGATAGGGAGACTGCACACCTATTTGATGCTGATTGTGTGAGGAAGACTGCACACCCGCTTCATGAGCAAGAGAATGTATGTTAACTTAGTGAGATCTGATGGACAATGTATGTTTACTTAGTGCGATCTGAGGGAGAATGTATGTTTACTTAGTGCGATCTGAGTGAGAATGTATGTTTACTTACTGCGTTCTGAGGGAGAATTATGTTTACTTAGTGAGATCTGAGGGAGAATGTATGTTTACTTGGTGAGATCTGATGGAGAATGTATGTTTACTTAGTGAGAGCTGAGGGAGAATGTATGTTTACTTAGTGAGAGCTGAGGGAGAATGTATGTTTACTTAGTGAGAGCTGAGGGAGAATGTATGTTTACTTAGTGAGAGCTGAGGGAGAATGTATGTTTACTTAGTGAGATCTGAGGGAGAATTATGTTTACTTAGTGAGATCTGAGGGAGAATGTATGTTTACTTAGTAAGATCTGCTGGAAAATGTATGTTTACTTGATGAGAGCTGATGGGAGGAAGAATGTGCGTCTAACTGACAAGAGATGAGGATGAATGTGGGGGCTACTTGGTGTTAAATGATGGAGAATGTACGTCCACTTGACAAGAGCTGAGGGTTCATGTACGTCTACTTGATAAAAGATGGGAAGAATAACAGAATCAGTTTAGATCATTCATCACCTTAACACAGATTGTTCATACTGGTCATTGTTAAAACCCAGGACTGACATCAACACCCAGACGTCACAGTGTAGACAGGCAACCCATTCTCTTCTACAATATAAATCATTCACCATGGGTACAAACAATGTCACAGATCTAACCCTCTATCTTCTACAACATACTTGCATCACCATGGGTTCAAACAATGTCACAGATCTAACCCTCTATCTTCTACAACATACTTGCATCACCATGGGTTTCAAACAATGTCACAGATCTAACCCTCTATCTTCTACAACATACTTGCATCACCATGGGTTCAAACAATGTCACAGATCTAACCCTCTATCTTCTACAACATACTTGCATCACCATGGGTTCAAACAATGTCACAGATCTAACCCTCTATCTTCTACAACATACTTGCATCACCATGGGTTCAAACAATGTCACAGATCTAACCCTCTATCTTCTACAACATACTTGCATCACCATGGGTTCAAACAATGTCACAGATCTAACCCTTCTCTTTTCTACAACATACCTGTATCAGCATGGGTACAAATAGTGGCATAGATTTAACCTTCTCTCTTTTACAACATACCTGTATCACCATGGGTATAAACAATGGCAGCGAAGTCAGCGGGATGTTCAACAAGTTGAACAGTTGCAGGGACACAAAGGCGACTTGTGGGTTCAAGTAGCCATCCTTTGATACAGCGATGAAAACTCCAAACGCCGTTAGCTGGACCTGAAACAAACATGACAGCGAACATTCGTTTATGTACTCATTGGCAATATTATTTTTTGGGGGGGGGGGGGGGGGGGGGGGGGGGGGGGGTCGGTGCCTGATGGCGTTTTATTATATCTCTATTTAATTGAATTAAAAATGGTGCCGTCTTCACAATAAAGGTGGGTTGTAATGTACACACATTTAACAGTGAGTATATTACGCTGAACAAATGCATCCATACTTCAAGAGCTGAATATTGAAGAGGGTTGGCTAGTAAAGACATTAAAACAAAGAAAATTGAAATATTTTGGTCACGTGAAACGTCATGGAAGTCTAGAGAGAACAATAATGGAGGGGTATATGCCTGGGAAGAGAGGAAGAGAAGGGCCAAGGAGAAGATGGGTGCAGGATGTGGCAGATGATCTCCAGATGGGTGTATCAGACGCAGGACATCTTGCTCAGGATAGGAAGGTTTTCCGGAGGGTTGTTATGGCAGCGAGGTTCCGCGAGGGACATGCTACTGAATGAATGAATATTACGCTGGAAAGACACAGTCTCTCCCACCGTGCAGCGGTCTGAAAGCCACGGGACAGGTCTTTTCTCTTAACAGCCGGCAGCGGGTGTCGAATCCTGGTCAGTGTCGAGAATTGCATAATCAAACGATTTCACTTGCTTTAAGCCACAGCGTGTGTGTGTGTGTGTGTTTTTTCCAGGAAAAATTAAAATTAAAATAAATGTAGCAATAAAAGTAATTTTCTTACATCTTGAACCAGGCACCAATTATTATTCTTTCGTTCAACACGTATCACGTATGCCTCCTTCCACGCGCTGATTGCTGATTTAAGAATAGACATCATAGCACAGCAGACGGAGCGACAATTACTGATTACTGATCTAAGAATAGACATCATAGCACAGCAGACGTAGCGAGAATTACTGATTACTGATTTAAGAATAGACATTATAGCACAGCAGACGGAGCGAGAATTACTGATTACTGATTTAAGAATAGACATCATAGCACAGCAGACAGAGCGACAATTACTGATTACTGATTTAAGAATAGACATTATAGCACAGCAGACGTAGCGAGAATTACTGATTACTGATTTAAGAATAGACATCATAGCACAGCAGACGGAGCGAGAATTACTGATTAATGATTTAAGAATAGACATCATAGCACAGCAGACGGAGCGAGAATTACTGATTACTGATTTAAGAATAGACATTATAGCACAGCAGACGTAGCGAGAATTACTGATTAATGATTTAAGAATAGACATCATAGCACAGCAGACGGAGCGAGAATTACTGATTACTGATTTAAGAATAGACATTATAGCACAGCAGACGTAGCGAGAATTACTGATGACAGAATCGACAACACAGAACAGCAGAAGTAGCGAGAATTACTGATGACAGAATCGACAACACAGAACAGCAGACGTAGCGAGAATTACTGATGACAGAATCGACAACACAGAACAGCAGACGTAGCGAGAATTACTGATGACAGAATCGACAACACAGAACAGCAGACGTAGCGAGAATTACTGATGACAGAATCGACAACACAGAACAGCAGACGTAGCGAGAATTACTGATTACAGAATCGACAACACAGAACAGTAGACGTAGCGAGAATTACTGATGACAGAATCGACAACACAGAACAGCAGACGTTGCGAGAATTACTGATGACAGAATCGACAACACAGAACAGCAGACGTAGCGAGAATTACTGATGACAGAATCGACAACACCGAACAGCAGAGGTTGCGAGAATTACTGATGACAGAATCGACAACACAGAACAGCAGACGTAGCGAGAATTACTGATTACAGAATAGACAACACAGAACAGCAGACGTAGCGAGAATTACTGATTACAGAATCGACGACACAGAACAGCAGACGTAGCGAGAATTACTGATGACAGAATCGACAACACAGAACAGCAGACGTAGCGAGAATTACTGATGACAGAATCGACAACACAGAACAGCAGACGTAGCGAGAATTACTGATTACAGAATCGACAACACAGAACAGCAGTATTAGCGAGAATTACTGATTACAGAATCGACAACACAGAACAGCAGACGTAGCTAGAATTACTGATTACAGAATCGACAACACAGAACAGCAGACGTAGCGAGAATTACTGATTACAGAATCGACAACACAGAACAGCAGACGTAGCGAGAATTACTGATTACAGAATCGACAACACAGAACAGCAGACGTAGCGAGAATTACTGATGACAGAATCGACAACACAGAACAACAGACGTAGCGAGAATTACTGATGACAGAATCGACAACACAGAACAGCAGACGTTGCGAGAATTACTGATGACAGAATCGACAACACAGAACAGCAGACGTAGCGAGAATTACTGATGACAGAATCGACAACACCGAACAGCAGAGGTTGCGAGAATTACTGATGACAGAATCGACAACACAGAACAGCAGACGTAGCGAGAATTACTGATTACAGAATCGACAACACAGAACAGCAGACGTAGCGAGAATTACTGATTACAGAATCGACAACACAGAACAGAAAACGTAGCGAGAATTACTGATGACAGAATCGACAACACAGAACAGCAGACGTAGCGAGAATTACTGATGACAGAATCGACAACACAGAACAGCAGACGTAGCGAGAATTACTGATTACAGAATCGACAACACAGAACAGCAGTTTTAGCGAGAATTACTGATTACAGAATCGACAACACAGAACAGCAGACGTAGCTAGAATTACTGATTACAGAATCGACAACACAGAACAGCAGACGTAGCGAGAATTACTGATTACAGAATCGACAACACAGAACAGCAGACGTAGCTAGAATTACTGATTACAGAATCGACAACACAGAACAGCAGACGTTGCCAGAAAATACTTACCAAGTAGGGCATGGTGTTGAACATGAATATTAATGCCCCAATAATGTATGAAAATTTTTTGATGACGTCAAGCTCCTTCTTCCGAATTGCTTCAATCTTTTCTTGGAAAGAACCCTCCCAAGCATAGAGCTTCAACACCTAAGGGGGAATAAACGAGAAAGAACCACTGCATCATTCTGTCAATAAACCTTTCTGAGAATGTACAATAAACACCCGAGGTAATAATTTATTTCCTCGAGTGCCATAAGGTTTTACCGGAGATGCCATTGGCACCTTTCCGTACTTCCAGACGATACCGGAGATGACCATGCGTTTAAATAAACAGTAGGATCCGCTGGAACTGCTATCACTACAGACGGTCAACCTGTGACCTATGCTGATTTTACTAAAGCAATTTAAGAATTAGGAAGGATGGAGGGCTTTGTGGGCAGAGCTAAAAAAAACGAGACTTACACCAGGCACAACAAAGGACTTGGTAATCAGCATAAAACAGGTACTGTAAGCCTCACGAACGTTGGAGTTCATATTGAGAGGAGGATCTGAACACGTGTGGACATGTCTGAAGAGCATCGATGATAAGCCCAACTAACTAACTAACTAACTAACTAACTAACTAACTAACTAACTAACTAACTAACTAACTAACTAACTAACTAACTAACTAACTAACTAACTAACTAACTAACTAACTAACTAACTAACTAACTAACTAACTAACTAAACCAACTAACTAACTAACTAACTAACTAACTAACTAACTAACTAACTGAACTGACTAGACTGACTGACTAACTAACTAACTAACTAACTAACTAACTAACTAACTAACTAAACTAACTAACTAACTAACTAACTAACAACTAAACTAACTAACTAACTAACTGACTGACTAACTGACTGAACTGAACTAACTAACTAACTCTAACTGACTGACTGACTGACTGACTGACTGACTAACTAACTAACTAACTAACTAACTAGCTAGCTAACCAACAGAAAACAAAATCCTTGAACAACCAAAGATACCAAATACTGTAGATCCATATTTCTGAGTATGCTGTGACCAGCTAGGAATAAGACTAGAACTTATTACATTTTGAGTGAGGTACACACTAAAGATAACCACACATCACACGTTGTTTGGGGCTGACACATTTAAAAGTGAATAAAAGTGAAATAGCCACCGGCTGATGATCTTTGTTCAATTCCCACGGAGTCGGATTTGTTGGGGGGAGGGTGGGATCTTGAGTGAAGTTGAGTTTGAATCAAGAACCGACGACGCAGCACTCGGGGTATTCCCATAAGCGGTCCGTCACCATCTTCAGCATAGAGTTCTAACACCAATGGTTCCAAAAGCATTCTGATTACACGTCCGTCTTACGAGCATCGGATAGATTCACTCCCACCTGCATCACTCTCTCCAGACTGGTGATCCATTTGCTCCTCTCAATTGTGCACGTTCTCCTACAATGTCCTAACCACGTCTGCCTTATCATGCGTGAATATTCCACCAAGCTGTGCAGCGCTAATCAGTCTATCCGCCTGTTCGTTTCTATACAGACCGACATTCTGGTTTACCAGGACAACAGTACACGGCAGGTGGTCACTTCCATGATCATCAAGTACACTCCATACAGTATCTGCCTCTGCAATCCGTGAGACCAGTGTGAAATCACAGGCAGTGTCGGCATCGCATGACCTCATTGCCATCCTTGTGGATTTAGCATCGTTGATACAAACAAAATCTGATCCACCACAGCGTGTTCCGGCGCTTTTCCTTGTCTCTTTTCTCCCTGACTTTTCCCATTCATAGACTCGGTCCCCTGGCAGTTGTTTAATACCTTTTATCCAGCCCCACTGCTCATTTTTAACAAAGGCGCTAGGGTTGGATAATATGGAGCAACTGAACATAATAATAAATAAAAACATAAGCCTCAGCAAGCTACCTCTCACGGTAAACTAGTAGACCATACTAAAGGTTTGGCCACTACAATTTTTAATTTCTGAGCATTCTTCTTCTTCTTCTTCTTCTTCTTCTTCTTCATCTTCTTCTTCTTTTTCTTCTTCTTCCTCTTCTCCTTCTTCTTCTTCTTCTTCTTCTTCTTCTTTTTCTTCTTCATCATCATCATCTTCTTTTTCTTCTTCTTCTTCTTCTTCTTCTTCTTCTTCTTCTTCTTCTTCTTTTTCTTCTTCATCATCATCATCTTCTTTTTCTTCTTTTTCTTCTTTTTCTTCTTCTTCTTCTTCTTCTTCTTCTTCTTCTTCTTCTTCTTCTTCTTCTTCTTCTTCTTCTTCTTCTTCTTCTTCTTCTTCTTCTTCTTCTTCTTCTTCTTCTTCTTTTTTTTTTTCTTCTTCTTCTTCTTCTTTTTCTTCTTCTTCTTCTTTTTCTTCTTCTTCTTCTTCTTCTTCTTCTTCTTCTTCTTCTTCTTCTTATTCTTCTTCTTCTTCAGTGTTCTATCCCTTACCCCGCCCTCTCCACTTTCCAAGTTCATAACAAACGAAACTTGCAATGACCATATTTACCTTCATCCCTGCCAGAACCTCAGACATGACCCGCATCCTCTGATCCTTCAGCTTCATCTGCTCGATCTGGTACTTCTTCAGGAAGACCCCAATGATGGTGTTGGCGGGCACTGCCATCAGCATGACAGCGAGCCCAGCAAACACGGCCACGTTCAATTGCTCGTACAGCAGATACAGGGAGATTCACCAGCTGGGGGATGACGTGTCGTTATTACCTTTAACTGTAAGGTTTTCACAATAACATATCATAACATGGTAGTCGCCGCGATATCGGCTAGACGCTCGCCTGTATCGGAAGGTCGTGAGTTCGGGTCCTCACGGAGCCGGTTTTTTCATAAATGACCTTGGCTCCCAGATCAATCCAGCCTTGAGGATACTAGCTGTCCTCTTGGGAAGTAAAGGCGGCCGGTGGAATGCTGACCACTTCACCCACAAAGCCCTGATTGGCGTATACAATAAAGGTCTAGACTTTCATGGACAATAAAGCCTAAAGGCGCGGAAAGGGGTCCTTTATAACATAATATAGCTGTAGGCCCGGTTAAGGTCATAGAAGTGTATCGATGGTAGCACCAACACACAAAACCCACCATCTTTCTCTGTCTTTCGCTTGAATGATAACTTAATCATGTTCATTTCTTGATCTCTTCTCTGCCCTCTTCTACTTTGACTACCACGCCCCCCCCCCCCCCCCTCCCCCCGGTGTTGTGGTTATCACGATATATTTATTTGTTTCATGGAGAGGTTTCACTGTCAAGGGATAGTTTACATTTTATCTTTTGGTCAGTTTAAGTTACTCTCCATGCGCTTGTTGTATTCTACTCATATTAACTTTCTGATTCACAAACAACGAGTGATGTGAATTACTCCATCTGCTCAATCCCTCCTCAGATTAATATGTTCATTTACTTTTTTATTTTTATTTGTTTAATCTGGTCACAACTCATTCTAGAAATTTGACTTGTCCAACAGTTATCACTACTAATATAATACAGCTTTGAAAGAAATGTAAAAATGAATTTTGATCAGGCATATTTCTTCACTGGCACCTCCTACAAACATTATTTTGGCACTTTTCTTAGCTACTCGTTTCAGGTGCAGTTGTTACTCTTACCCACACTGCTCAGACTGTTAACTTAACTCTTCCTCTCGTCTTCTTCTTCTTCTTTTCTCTACTCTTGGCATGTCAAACATCATCTGGTCAGCGAGAGATCTCTGGAACGGGCCTGTCTTTTCTCTTCGTATAAAAAACTTTTCAGTGTCTCAGATATTTCTGCGGCCCATAATCTGCATGGTCGACCTCTGGCTCTGTTACCGCTGTATCTGTTCACCATTGCTCTCTGTGGTGCCCTGTCTGATACCAATCTTAATACATGGCCAAACCATTTGATTTGTTGTTTACTTATAAAATTCAGAATTGGTTCTGTGCCGACTCTTCTCCTGATATCGTCGTTCCTAAGTCGATCTTTCCTCGTTGCACCTAGCGTAGGAGGTAGACATTTCATTTCTGTCCTCGAATATTTTCCTTATTTGTCTTCTGAAGACAGTGTCTATGTCTGACATTGATAGCATAGTGTTGGTAAGAATATTGTGTTGGAACAGTGTTCTTTTGGTGTTTATATTCACATACTTGCATTTCAGAATTAGCGCCATGTGACATAAAACTTGATTTGCTTTATTGTTACTTTGCCGGATGTCTTTAATAATCTTCCTCTCTGATTGCCCTATTATTTCAACACAATTGTACTCAAATATGTTTAATTCAAAATTCAAACTTTCTGGCAAAGAGTGAGTTAGATTATATCCTGCCTCGTATTAAATAAGCTAAATCCTCTTTCCAAGACCATACACAATTACAACCTGCTACATGTGATCAGGGGGGCCACCGTTGTGTAGCGACTAGACGCTCGCCTGTGGATTAAAAGGGCGCGGGTTCAAACATTTTTTCAAAAATGACCTAGGCTGCTGCCAGGTCGATTCAACCTTGAATGGGAACCAGGTAAAGTCCTGGGAGTAGTGGCGGCCTGTGTGATCACCCACCTAGTACCGATTGGTCTTTAAAATATAGGTCTAGCCCTATATGCCCAATACGCCTGAAGGCATGGGCAATGGTCCTTTAATTTATATTCTTCTATGTGACAATACGCTCGGTGACTTCAGAATGTCTTTCCTCAACCTACTTTTATTTCTTTGTATTTTGAAAGTATGCAGAAAAATAGGGATTTGGATACCTCCCTAATCTAAGTAGGCGACCTGAAAAAAACATTTAATTTTCCGGGACTGTTGATAATATCAAACACTGAGACTCTTTCCCAGATGTAAAGTGTTAAGGTAGTACTGTCTGCAGATTTGCACACCATCTGTTGGTGTCAGATATTTATCTCCTAGCCAGACTTTTAGGGGCAGATAACTCCGGCTAATTGTGTTTAATTCACCCTGAGGTTACCTAACTCGAGGGCAGGTCCGACGGTCACTATTGACATGGTGAGCAGAAAGTGTTAACAGAAGAATTGACACCGTCTTATTTTATTGTGATGGCAGGTGAAGTAGTCTGGAGGTGTGACTTGTCCTATTTGCTCTGGTCAGATGAATTGACCAGGAGATCCTAGCGTGGGAATTTAAACAAGTGTTGTACAGCTATGACTGACAGCACATAAACTTACCCACAGGGAGGAGCTGTGACATCCTTGAATGAGAATGGTTTTAGGCGTAATGTAGGAGGAGCTTGATAAAAGTTATAAAGGGGTGAACTCTAGGTCTGGTAAATGAGACTCTGTCCAGCACATGCCATCTGTTGGGCTTAACCTAAGCTTGAGACAGAACTTTTGGCATCGTGGTTTCATTTTCCAGGTAAGAACGAAATTAGTTTCAAAACCTTTATTTTATTTATGATAGAGATCTAACTGTCTTTTTACTCAAGTGTGTGTCTTCATCACTTTGTAGTACTCCTAGGCGGACATTTCTTTATTCTCTTAGGGCACTGTCACATTGCTTTATATCCTCTTTGATAGTGTCATGAATGTTTTTCGTGCACATGTGTTTCAATGTTGTAAACCCTAAATGTTGATGTTACCATTGAAATTTAATGAACTATCATGTTTTTGAAATCACAAGCGTGAAGATAACTTTGGCAATCTTTTCACGTGTGGTTAATGTGAATCTGTATTACATACAGCTAACACACTGAAATGTGTTTAACTCTCTGGAGGCTAATGCGGAGATTGATCCCGGAGAGTAAATCCACGAGATTTGTTATTCGATTCGCCTCAGAAATATTGTTAGCTTTCTGGGCGCGTCCAGTGTTCCAAGCATGGATTCCAGAACTTGTTCGGTCTTACTGATTGTCATTTGAGTCTGTACGAGAGATGGCATCTGACGTAGAAGACGTGACTATCATTACAGGACTTGTGTAGAGGAAGGCAGTAAATGTAACGGGTGGAATGTGAGACATAAGCCCTTCCAAATTGGACAGGAGTGAATGTGAACATGAGGGAGAGATGAAATGTTTTATTTAAATAAACATGTTTGATGTTATTATAATATACATGCTTAGTGTACACCTAGAGCAGATACTACAGATATGCGCTTGTTTCTTTATCACAGTTCCCACATTGGGCAGGGACTAGTAGGCATCCATTCTTTGCCGACAGTCTGAGTGTAACGACCTGCATGAAAGCAGTGAGGACGACAAACTGGAAAAGATAGGCAGGGTCTCAAGCCGAGAACTGTCCAAAGGTTGTTACTTTCCAATACCTTTAGGATTTCATCATTCACATCATTTCAACTCTACTAGCCTAAACAAGTTCATTTTATTTTTGGTTAGATTTATTAAATAAATCTTTTTCATTTTGTTACAAAATAGTTGAGTAAACTGTGCACTTAGGTTCAAGTGTCTTGGTGCATAATAGTTTACTTCAGCTAACAAATATTTAAATCACTTGATGGGGGCTTTTAAGTAATGTCAGGAGAGGAGAGCATTCGGAGAGGTTAACTGAGCACCTTGATTATATCACAGTGGGTGTATCCAGATATCTATCTATCCCTTCTCCTACTCCTGTGGATACAAGTACAGCAACTTTCATTTCATGGAACGAGCCACTCGCTGTTTTCTTGGCTATCCAGGACTGTCTAGGATCAACATAGCTTAGATATTAGTCCAGTTTCTCACGTGGGTGGGCATTGTTAAGGTTCAAACCCACACCCTCACTATATCAGTGTATTTACCCACTTGGGCGCGCGACATTCTATATCCATCATATATTTATATAGAGTGTATACCCCTGCCTTGTGCTTGTATTTGTAACTTTTCCTTATTGACACACTCGACAAGCGATGCAGGGAGCAGAATCCTCTTGCTCTCAACACCCTCATCAGTAAAAATGCAGACGAGGCAGATGTATTGATCTACAGAGACGGATTTGTTATACGCCAACAAAAAAGCGCATGGACGTTCACAGCACGCTCAGCGGGTAAAGCAGCCAGAGAAGCCAACGGCGCCTTCTCCATGACAACCAGCAAAATTACGATGGACGTGATGGCAATAACGCAATCGTACAAGTGGCTCAAAACACAAAACGACATCCGAGCATGTGTATTCAGTGATGCAATGAGTATGATCAGGAGGGTTTAGGCCGGTTCGGTACGAAGGCAGCGGCTTGGGCTATTACAAAAGTCCACTGTGCGTGGAGTCACCTTTATTTTCGTCGGCATCGATGGAAATTACGTAGCTGATAGGTTGGCTGATTCCGTCATCACCATCGACGGTCAACCTATGGATCATGCTGATATTATTGATGCCCTTTGAGAAATGGGAAGGGTGGAGGATCGGCATAGCAAAAAACGAGACGCCCACCAGGCACATCAAGGGACTTGTTAATCAACATATAACTGGTACTATTAGCCACCAGACGCTGGGGCTCATGCTTATAGGAGGATCTGAGCCCCTATGGATATGTCTGGAGTGCGATGCTGAGAACCGGGCTAAATAACTAAGTAACTAATATATTCATAAGGTTGCCTGAGACAGTGGACTACTATTTGTACATACGAAGTGTTTGAAGAATTGGCCAGAAAATGACACACAGAAAGGTAAATGTACGATACCTGGAACGGCATTGAGAACATCAGGTAGAGGTTGGTACAGATGTCCACCATTCTCTGGGAGTCCACGGACATCAAGTTGACGATCTCGCCGGCAGTTGTGGATGTGTCGCTGCTTGTGATGGTCAGTGACTGGACACAGGAATGCACGGATTATTTACAGCGTGTCAGATCAGCTATTTACAACTTGTCAAATCAGCTATTTACAACTTGTCAGATCAGCTATTTACAACTTGTCAGGTCAGCTATCTATCTCCAGGTTAGTTTGAGTTTGGTTCTTCTTCTTAACGCATTCCATCGCTTCATGTGTCGATTGCGTGACACTGGACTGAAGCGTGGTGAAGCACGTCTCATGGGAACAATTATTAGAGTACTTTGGAGTGGTTGCTGCATAGGAGGACAGAGCACGCATGGGAATGCCCAATGTGCAATGACGTCAATTATGAAAACATAACACAAACACAACATTCAGGTGTCGAGAGGGGTAATAAGGTTTTGCCTCTTGCTCTCTGGCCGCCTAGACCATAAACACATCTTGATGTTGTCGCGTTTCTCTGATGTTATCTTTCGAACGTATTCTTGATCTACTTTCTGCTCTACGTCCCTCTCTCCTCCTTTGATATATGGTTTGGCCTTACAGGCATTCTCTCTGAGTGACAAACTATTTCATTTGTTGTTTTTATAAGTAATTTAGAATTGGTTCTGTGCCAACAGTTTTCTCTTATAGCCTTATTCCTGATTTTATCACTTATGATCACTCCTGCAGCTCTTCTCTTATATCTCATTTCCATGGTCACTAATTTTGTTGTAAGATTTGTTGTGAGTGACCACGCCTGGCACTAGTAGCATAGAATAGAAATTAAAATGCTTTGTATAAAATATTTCTTTTTGCTGATTGGGATCATCTTATGCTGTAAGAGTGGGGCTTTTTGTCTTAATATCTGGTTTGCTGTACTGACTTTGATGGTGACTTCATCCAATTTTCAAACTTCGGTGAATGTTGTTCCCGAATGTTTAAACACAGACGGCTCTGTAATGCCATTGCGCTCTACCGCTGTATTTAGTTTCTGCTTTACTTCTGTCCTGTCAGTGTTGATTTCCATGTTATTATATGTTAGAATAATATGACGATGATGTTGACGATGAGGCAGAATAAGAAGAGAGAGGAAGAAGGAGAAGAAGAAGAAGAAATCTTATTTTATGTTGTGTTATCGACTAAACGCAGCCTACGGATCCAAGGGTAATATGTTCAAATCTCAACATAGTTGGATTTTTCTCAAAATGACCTTGGCTCCTATGTCGACCCAACCTTAAATGAGTATCGGATAAAGCCCTGGGACGTGAAGGCAGCCATCGTGATGTTGACCGCATTGTTCACTTGGTGCCAGTTGATCTAAATATAAGTAAAACCTTGTACGCCCAATGCTCCAGGAGGTGTGGAAAAGGATCCTTTTATCTTGACCGCTCTAAACTCCACACTGTCTTATCCAAATGAGGAGCGGACAACCTGTAGAATTTTCTGATAAGTGTCCATGCAGGAAAAAATGAAAGGAAGAAAGCTGGTCACCCGACTGTGTAGGTAGCGGCTTGGAACATGTGACAGTCTAACAATTAACCACCAGACGGCTCTCACTGCTGTAAAACTACCTTTTCCTCTTCTTTTTCTCTTCCCCCTTCCCATCCATTTCCTTTTCATCCATCTTCTGTTCTTCGTTTCCCCTTTCCCCTGTCACATTGCTACAGGACTGTAGCCCAGTGATCTATCGATCATTCACTTTGCCCTCTCTTAGACGAAGAAGAAGATTCACTTTGTCCTCTCAAAGACGAAGAAGAAGATTCACTTTGTCCTCTCAAAGACGAAGAAGAAGATTCACTTTGTCCTCTCAAAGACGAAGAAGAAGATTCACTTTGTCCTCTCAAAGACGAAGAAGAAGATTCACTTTGTCCTCTCAAAGACGAAGAAGAAGATTCACTTTGTCCTCTCAAAGACGAAGAAGAAGATTCACTTTGTCCTCTCAAAGACGAAGAAGAAGATTCACTTTGTCCTCTCAAAGACGAAGAAGAAGATTCACTTTGACCTCTCAAAGACGAAGAAGAAGATTCACTTTGTCCTCTCGAAGACAAAGAAGAAGATTCACTTTGTCCTCTCGAAGACGAAGAAGAAGATTCACTTTGTCCTCTCGAAGACGAAGAAGATTCACTTTCCCTCTCAGACCTGCAACCTTAAGGTTCACCTTGCCATCTTGAGATTTAAAAAAAATCTTAGTCTGGGTGGCAGACTACAAATGCACATCCTAGATACCCCGTTTAACCTTCAAAGAAGTTGTAGTTAGGCACCCAAAACGGCTACATCAACCGGTTGTAACCTACCGTCCTGCTTCGGGTACGAACAAGCAGCCTGGTCATTGTTTTCTGTATTTGTCTTGCTCTTATCGAGTGGCTTGAGATTCAGCTAAAACATCCATTCACATCTTTTTTGATATTTTTCTGGTATTTTGCCTAAGTGATCGTCAGAAGAAAGAATAGCCTGGCTGTATTCTTACCATAAGGCCTAACTATTCTCGGCTCTCAATGTAGTTTTCGTCCCTCACGAGTAATGAAGACCACTTTCATCCAAAGTAGTAATAATCAATGATTATGAGTACGAAGGTGGCTGATTAGTCCAATATGAGTATGGAACGTTCTTGATCAGTGCGGACAACAAGTGGAAGCCGCAGTAAGTGTGGGATTAGCGATACGATTCTTTCTAGTCTGCCTCCGTTTCTCTGCCTGTGCAACCTCCGCTGCCTTGCAGGCTGATGCATCATGCCTGAGGGACGTACGCTATCCAGCAGGTCTTGTGCAGCAGCCCCTACGTCGCTGTGTTGATGCCAAAAGAATTGAGAGCAGTCTTGAGTTTCCTTGTAGCGCCTTTTCTGTTCTCACTGAGACCGCTTTTCTTGATGGAGCTCACCATAAAATACTCTTTGGGAGGCGATACTCTGGCATGCGGGTTAGGTGACCAGCCCAACGCATCTGATAATTCCTCAGTATCGTACCTCTCGATGTAATGTCACACTTAGGGGGATATACTGAAGATTGGATCCGACCGCTTATGGACTTGTCCTATGTGCAGTAAGTATAATCTTTCGATTAACTAACTAACTAACTCTCGGTGTAATTCACTCACAGTCTTATTCCAAACATCTCTACAATGCTAGTTTTCCTGACCCTGTGATATAATATTGGTGACTTTTTTTGGTATTTCGTTGGCGATTATTTTCTATTCCTGTAATCTACTTGTAACATTAATTCTCGCCAAATTCTGTCTGTACAGATACCAACCTTCTTGTAGATCGCTGCGATAAGAACTGCTTTGATGCGCATCCCCATACGTTTAGACAGAAGCAATGCTTGGTTGGATCCAAGTGACACGATCAGCTGAACCACGAAGTACGAACCGGCCAGCACGTATCCCTTCCAGACCTGTTCGGTTTCTCGGGCAGCCACATAGCCCAGCAGAGCCCTGTACTCACCATAAGTCAAAATTGAGTCAAACTGTTAATTTATCATTACCTAATTATATTAATATTATTTTGTTATAAGCAACAATATTTCCGCGGACAGCGTAAGAATATGCATTACGGAAACAAATTTTTAAAAACAAAACAAAAAACTTAGAACTTTTAAGCTTAAACTCTCCAGAAAATATATTAAACACCACAGGAATATATCATGGCAGAAAAAAAAAAATGGATCAGACACTAATAATATCTCAAGAATTGAATATTGGTGGGGAGCGGAAAAGGGGGGGGGGGGGGGGGTTCTATATCATTTCTATAAAACGGAAGTATTTAGAAATTGTCTTGCCTCCCTTCTTCTAGAACATCATATCTACTATTTACAAAGCATACATAAACTTGATAAATTAGATGATAAATCTAATGCACAAACTTAAACTTTATAAACGAAACGATGAATCTAATGTTCAAAAGAACCCCATGATAAACGAAATGACAAAGACTGTCTTCAAACATTTACTTAGGAAACGAAATGATCAAGCTAGTTAACAAACATATAACTACTAAAGAATATAATAAATAATATGTACAGATTTAAACCTAATAAAATTGTTAAAACAATTGTTTACAATTACAACCCTCTTACTCGGTAATCTTCGGGGTGGCGAAAGTAAGTAAATCCATCAATGTCTTCATGAACTGCAACCATTGAAAAGAATTAAAATAAACTATTGAACCAAAATAGTTTATCACTAAGAACGTCTGGATAATAATACATTGTGAGGAATTTTCATTGTCACAGTAAATTATGTGAAAAATGTTTTGTCAACATAAATAACATTCTCAGGCCTATCTCTTAACTTTCTGAAACCTGAATTCTCTCAACCCAGTGACCAACAGTGCGTCCACCAACTTCGCAGCTTCCACACATGACACTCAAAGGTTTACAAATGTTCATCACAATATCTTTTCTGTAGCCAGAATCTTTACGTCAGTTCGCTGTTTGTAATGCACGTTGTCCACACGTTCTGTTTTAATGGATAAGTGCAGCTGCTAGGAGAAGTTGTCGTTTGTACAAACAGTATTGAGATGTTAATTTTTTAACGTGCACAGTTTCAGTTTACTATATTCCAAGAAGCAAAAGAAAACCAAACGATTTACTATATTCCAAGAAGCAAAAGAAAACCAAACAGTTTACTATATTCCAAGAAACAAAAGAAAATCAAACGATTTACTACAGTCCAAAAAGCAAAAGAAAACCAATTTACTATATTCCAAGAAGCAAAAGAAAAAAAAACAATTTACTATATTCCAAAAAGCAAAAGAAAACCAATTTACTATATTCCAAGAAGCAAAAGAAAACCAAACAATTTACTATATTCCAAGAAGCAAAAGAAAAAAAAACAGTTTACTATATTCCAAGAAGCAAAAGAAAACCAAACGATTTACTATATTACAAGAAACGAAAGAAATCCAAACGATTTACTATATTCCAAGAAACAAAAGAAAACCAAACGATTTACTATATTCCAAGAAGCAAAAGAAAACCAATTTACTATATTACAAGAAGCAAAAGAAAAAAAAAACAATTTACATTATTCCAAGAAGCGAAAAAAAAACCAAACAGTTTACTATATTCCAAGAAGCAAAAGAAAACCAAACAGTTTACTATATTCCAAGAAGCAAAAGAAAACCAAACAGTTTACTATATTCCAAGAAGCAAAAGAAAACCAAACAATTTACTATATTCCAAGAAGCAAAAGAAAACCAAACAGTTTACTATATTCCAAGAAGCAAAAGAAAACCAAACAATTTACTATATTCCAAGAAACAAAAGAAAACCAAACAATTTACTATATTCCAAGAAGCAAAAGAAAACCAAACAATTTACTATATTCCAAGAAGCAAAAGAAAACCAAACAATTTACTATATTCCAAGAAGCAAAAGAAAACCAAACAGTTTACTATATTCCAAGAGGCAAAAGAAAACCAAACAATTTACTATATTCCAAGAAGCAAAAGAAAAAAAAACAGTTTACTATATTCCAAGAAGCAAAAGAAAACCAAACGATTTACTATATTACAAGAAACAAAAGAAAACCAAACGATTTACTATATTCCAAGAAGCAAAAGAAAACCAAACAATTTACTATATTCCAAGAAACAAAAGAACACCAAACAATTTACTATATTCCAAGAAGCAAAAGAAAACCAAACAGTTTACTATATTCCAAGAGGCAAAACCATACCAAATAATTTACTATATTCCAAGAAGCAAAAGAAAACCAAACAGTTTACTATATTCCAAGAAGCAAAAGAAAACCAAACGATTTACTATATTCCAAGAAGCAAAATAAAACCAAACAATTTACTATATTGCAAGAAGCAAAAGAAAACCAAACAATTTACTATATTGCAAGAAGCAAAAGAAAACCAAACAATTTACTATATTCCAAGAAGCAAAAGAAAACCAAACAATTTACTATATTCCAAGTAACAAAAGAAAACCAAACGATTTACTATATTCCAAGAAGCAAAAGAAAACCAATCAGTTTACTATATTCCAAGAGGCAAAACAAGACCAAACAATTTACTCTATTCCAATAAGCAAAAGAAAACAAAACAATTTACTCTATTCCAAGAAGCAAAAAAAAAAAAAAAAAAAACAGTTTACTATATTCAAAGAAGCGAAAGAAAACCTAACGAGGCAGTCGAACAAGAAACAGATATCAATCGTAAACTGATTAGAAAACAAATTAGATTTTTTCAATAATGTTGGACGTTGTAGAAGAATATTTGATTTACAAATGGATTGTGTGTCGTACTGACGATACCCATAGACACGAAATCTCCCGCAGCATCTGCCTTCTGATGTAGATTTGATTGTCCCAGTAGCAGACTAGCTGGTCACAAGTCATACTGTTTCTTTCATTCGTCCTTTCTTGCTGGATCCACACATAATCCATAACTCAAGCAATTTTACACGCCTTGTTTCATTCGACAACGTATCTTCTTTTATCATTCATTTAAGCGTGAGAAGAAATCAAACACAAAGAAAGCCAAGGCCGGATTTGTGCATCCTCATGGCACAAGAAGATTTTGATTATTTGAGAAAATGGGACCCCTGATATACATTCTATGTCATTTGTTATACACTATCAAATCAGTTTTTAATCCTAGGTCGATCCAGGCTTAAATGGTCACCAGGTAAAGTCATGGTAGGTAAAGGCGGTCGATGTGATGCCGACCACATCCCCCACCGAGTGCTGATTTGACTATTAAATATAGATTTTGGTCAGTGGAGATCCTGCATCAAGATCAGCCAAGAAGAGAGAACCTTATTCTTCGGTAGAGCGTCATTTGGTGCATCAAGATCAGCCAAGAAGAGAGAACCTTATTCTTCGGTAGAGCGTCATTTGGTGCATCAAGATCAGCCAAGAAGAGAGAACCTTATTCTTCGGTAGAGCGTAATTGGTGCATCAAGATCAGCCAAGAAGAGAGAACATCATTCTTCGGTAGAGCGTCATTTGGTGCATCAAGATCAGCCAAGAAGAGAGAACATCATTCTTCGGTAGAGCGTCATTTGGTGCATCAAGATCAGCCAAGAAGAGAGAACCTTATTCTTCGGTAGAGCGTCATTTGGTGCATCAAGATCAGCCAAGAAGAGAGAACATCATTCTTCGGTAAAGCGTCATTTGGTGCATCAAGATCAGCCAAGAAGAGAGAACATCATTCTTCGGTAGAGCGTCATTTGCTTGACTTTAGATACGTAGCTGGTAAAGATTGTGCTTTCAGGTTTATTTATCACAGACTGAATAGATATTTGTTAACATTGATCGAGTCTGTATCAATGAAATTTTACTCTCCTATATTATGTAAACAGAAAGATCACATAATTAATTTGAAGTTACCATGGTAATCATGTGACTGATTTTTAAATTCCAGCTGTAAGATGTACAGCAACTCGACAATGTGATTAAAGCATTTCAGCAAGAAAAGAATTAACTTGTGCTTTATTGTATGTTCGATTTACCTCTGTAGTAACGCACCTGACGAGATATAGCGAAATATGCAAGGCAATAAATTGTGCAATGTATTGTTTGTGTCCGCATTTTTTAAATATACAAAATACATGTCAATATGCCCAATGCATTTGAAAGCCCAGTCAAGGGTTCTTGACTTTTTACTTCTTCTTCTGCTTTTCTAGCCCCCCCCCCCCCATCCCCCCTCCCCCTTTTCACAATGAAGCATAGGTCCTCAACCAACTCAAGCCAAGTCGTTCTATCTTTTGCTATCGCATGAAACTCTCCCCATGTCCGCCTCATCCTTCTAACTTCATTCTCCAGCGCCCTTCTCCAAATTGTTTGTGGCCTTCCTTTATTCCTATGCCCCTGTGGGTTTCAGAGCAAAGACATTCTAGATTTTTTAATCTCTGGTTTCTTCAACGTGTGTCCTATCCTATGCCAGCGTCTTTTCCTCACCTCTTGGTCAGCTGGAACTTGCTTAGTTCTCTCCTAATGCTCGACATTAGTGATTCTACCATACCATTTAATTCCCTCTATTCTGCGCAGGCACCAGTTAATGAATGTCTGTTTATGAGTAAACCCGTGTGTCACCGGGGCCCTCATGTGAAGCAAAGAATAGTGAGACTGCACCCTACCAGGCATGTCGTAAGAGGCGACTAAGGGTGGGGTTGGGCTACTCAATCCTGTTAAAACAAAAGCCACAAAAACCAACCGCTTACCTGAGCAGTCAACAGCAGAGGGCCGGCAGTGTTATATAGAACTTTGAACAGCGATGGTTCTTTAAATGGCGACTTGGGTGGTTTAACCTGCTCACTTGCAGGAGGTCCAGCCCCGCGAGGACCGTTCTCTTGTTTGAGAGCTGCGATCTCCTTGGTGTTCTTCTCGGTTCCTCTGATTAAGGGTGTTTTCTCGTTTGATGATAGATGGTCTGGACTAAGAGACTTGTACATGGACGACACGACTGTTGGTCTAATCAAGAAAATGAGATACACAATGTGTGATGTCTGGAATTTTGCAGAAGGTTTCTAAAAAATCAGTGTCGACGTATGTAAAATATAGGTACAGTGTGTTGTTCAAAACCTTCTCTCTCGCTATCTATCTATCTATCTATCTATCTATCTATCTATCTATCTATCTATCTATCTATCTATCTATCTATCTATCTATCTATCTATCTATCTATCTATCTATCTATCTATCTATCTATCTATCTATCTATCTATCTATCTATCTATCTATCTATCTATCTATCTATCTATCTATCTATCTATCTATCTATCTATCTATCTATCTATCTATCTATCTATCTATCTATCTATCTATCTATCTATCTATCTATCTATCTATCTATCTATCTATCTATCTATCTATCTATCTATCTATCTATCTATCTATCTATCTATCTATCTATCTATCTATCTATCTATCTATCTATCTATCTATCTATCTATCTATCTATCTATCTATCTATCTATCTGTCTATCTATCTATCTATCTATCTGTCTATCTATCTATCTATCTGTCTATCTATCTATCTATCTATCTATCTATCTATCTATCTATCTATCTATCTATCTATCTATCTATCTATCTATCTATCTATCTATCTATCTATCCATCCATCTATCCATCCATCTATCTATCTATCCATCTATCTATTCATCTATCCATCCATCTATCTATCTATCCATCTATCTATCTATCTATCTATCTATCCATCCATCTATCCATCCATCTATCTATCTATCTATCTATCTATCTATCTATCTATCTATCTATCTATCTATCTATCTATCTATCTATCTATCTATCTATCTATCTATCTATCTATCTGTCTGTCTGTCTGTCTGTCTGTCTGTCTGTCTGTATGTCTGTCTGTCTGTCTGTCTGTCTGTCTGTCTGTCTGTCTGTCTGTCTGTCTGTCTGTCTGTCTGTCTGTCTGTCTGTCTGTCTGTCTGTCTGTCTGTCTGTCTGTCTGTCTGTCTGTCTGTCTGTCTGTCTGTCTGTCTGTCTGTCTGTCTGTCTGTCTGTCTGTCTGTCTGTCTGTCTGTCTGTCTGTCTGTCTGTCTGTCTGTCTGTCTGTCTGTCTGTCTGTCATAGTCATGAGCCAATAAACCAACACAGAGAAAATTGAACTAAAAAACAAACAGAACAAACAGATCAGCCAAGAAACCTACACAGAGAAAGTTTAACTCAAACAAACAGAACAAACAGATCAGCCAAGAAACCCACACAGAGAAAGTTTAACTCTAACAAACAGAACAAACAGACCAGCCAAGAAACCCACATAGAGAAAGTTTAACTGAAACAAGCAAAACAAATAGACCAGCCAAGAACCCACACAGAAAAAGTTTAACTCAAACAAACAGAACAAACAGACCAGCCAAGAAACCCACATAGAGAAAGTTTAACTCACAAAAAAAGGACAAACAGGGCAGCTAACAAACACTATACCTAATCTTCTCATTGTAAGCATCGGCCCGCTCCTTCTCCTTCTGGTAGGCCTCTTCAAACAAAGGAACGCTGGCGTCACTGACGTCTGCTGGTGGTAGGTCAAACACGTCCTCTTCTGATATCGTCTTCTTGAACCCTTTCACCAGAAGCCTGCCCGGGGAGGGAATAAGGGTCAGTTTTCTTCTTCAATACCAGGTAGATATAATTTAGCTCAGTGGTTTCCCGTAGGTAGGTTGCGTATCCTTTACAGGACGTTGCAGAACCAACCCCAACAGCCCCTGGCTGTTGTGTGGTTTTTCTAGGCAAATTAACGTCCAATAGTTTGCCATTGCTTCTTGGACAGTCGGCTCTCTTGATACTACTGTCAAAACCAACGCGAGGCGCATGGCCCTTAGCTGGGATTGAATCCGGCATCCCGGCATTACGAAGCATTCGCATCGACTTAGCCACAGAGCCGACGGTTTCCGGTATAAGATGAAAATAAATACTACTGGAGCTGAAGCATTGCAGGTCAGTAGAATTCCTATTCCGCTACATTTGGGGTTGAATGGTACTTGGTCTGAAGCCAGTAAAAAAACGTATCCAAGCCTTCAGGCGTGTTGGGCAAATAGGGCTAGACCTGTATCTTACAGACCATTCGGTACTTGGTTGGTGATGTGGTCCGCATCACACCAGACGCGTTTCTTTCCATGACTGTACCTGGTACTAACTCAAAGCTGGGTCGACCTGGGAGACAAGGCCATTTTTTTAACAAAACAAAACCGGCTCTGTCAAGACCTGTACCCAGGACATTCTGATCCGCAGGCGAGCGTCTAGCCACTACACCATGGCGAACTCCCCCCCCCCCCCCCCCCCACCTTGAAGCAGGTTGGATCATTTAAATAGCTTGGAAGCTTATACTTTAAGGATGGGAGAATGGATTAGAAAGTTTCAACAAGATGCTAACGAGCCAGTGCACCTACACATCAGTTGACAACATTTTTAAGAGCGCCTAAGAAGCAGATTATAAAACAGCATATTCATACCTATACTGTGCCAGACTTGGATATTATCAAAAGCTAACCTACGTAAAATCAACACCTGTGAAATGAGATGCCTGAGAAAAGTCGCAAACTTAACCATCGAGGCAAAGATATTATTAGACAGACTGTAGGAACAACATCATGCAGCAAATTCATTGAGAAACATACAATCTAGTTGTTTTAGTAAGAATGCAGTCTGAACAACTACCAACTCAGGCGCTACACATTTAGAGATCTGAAATGAAACAAGAGGTCGCCATAGGAGCGACATTAAAGAGCTTCTACATAGACACCGAATGACAATAACCATTACTACCCATAAAGCAATGGGTGGCAAACTGCTCCTCCCCACGGCGCTTAACGTCAAAAGTAGAAATTGGTGATGATGATGATGCAGATAGTTCTCATTTTGTTTCTGCAATATTTACTTAGCCAATTTTCTGTTGCTACCTTGCGGTGAAAAGGTTTGCCATAGAGATCGCCAGACGTCTCTTTCAGCACTTTTCTTTCTGGCTTTGTTCCATTCCAGGTCTCTGTCATTTCTGTTGCTACCTTGCGGTGAAGAGGTTTGCCATAGAGATCGCCAGACGTCTCTTTCAGCACTTTTCTTTCTGGCTTTGTTCCATTCCAGGTCTCTGTCAGTTATGGACTGTCAGATGTTGTCTTTCCAGTGGACGCTGAGTCGCCCTGTTGGTCTGGTTCCTTAGTTCTTGGCCTCCCATGACTACAACGCTGATCTTTTTTCTCCTATTATGCATTCAAGTCCAAACCATCGTATCTGTGACTGATCCACTCGAGTTCGTAAACCTTGGGTTTCAAGATCATGGCGTATTGTTCGGTCTACCACTGACCGCATAGTTTTGAGGAACTTATAATTGATAAATGTTATAATAAACAACATAAATTTTCCTTGTCAACACAGGTGTTAGACGTGGGAGGCATACTATCACCTGCTTTTGGTCAAGCTGACCATTGTCGGCTGATGAAAGAAGTTACCGGAGATAGACGCAGAGTTAATGTGTGGCCAATTATCTCAGATTTAGATAAGGGAGCTGCGTGGTCTGGAGACATAGTGTCCACCTCGAGTGCTAGAGCACGGCCTTCTCTATTTATAGGGAAGGACATTGCTAAAGGTTCCGGGTTCAATCCCCTGTAAGGGCTAGGATTTTTTTGACGTGGACTTGGACTTCTAGTAATTCCCCCAGGTCTTTGAGAATAGGACCAGATATAGGAATATGATTTGTGAGATAGGACGCTTGTGTGCATTGTTCAGCACGTAAAAAAATCCCTTCGCATTTGGAAATCGAGAAGAGTAGCCTCACATCGCTTCCCGGGAAACATTTGGAGTTAAAAATCGACCAAAAGTATTTCAGGATCCTCGCCAGTGCTACAGAGGCTGTACGCTGAACTGAGCTTTTTCAGACTCAGACGAGTTAGAAGAATAGTTACTACCCGGATACCATGATGTTGATCCGTTGTTCAAAATCTCAAAGTTGTAGAGGTTTTGGACGATGCAGATGGCATTCCTCTTATATCAAAATAATGTGTGGATGATCAGAAAAAGATTGAAAGACTTTCGACAGTGGCCCTTAGGATAGGATTAAAGATAAATACAAGTAACAAGAAATAATCGGAAAACATAAAATATAATTATCTTTTAAACGGTAAAGCAATAGAAGAAGAATATATAAACCTCGGGAGCAAGTTACTCCAGATGAGGAATCTGAAAAGGATGTAACTTCCAACAACAAAAAGACAATGTTTACGCTGAAGTATTTACCCCACAATCCACATGAACGTCAGTCTGCTGGGGATTGAGGCTGTGATCTCTGGGCTTGGGTTCTGTAACAATCATTATATGTTTTATTGTTACGTTAAATAAATAATTTTATGGTTACAGTTAAACAATCATTAGATGGTTAAAGTTAAACAACAATTATATGGTTACAGTTAAATCATTATATTGTTGGAGTTAAAAGATCATTTTATAGGTAATTAGTCATTTTATATATTTAGGCCAGGTTTCGTTTTGAAGTTGTAGGTAGAGAGGGCAGGTCGGCAGAATATGCTCAGATGTTTGTGGTCCCGATATGCACACTGTGCGGACTGAACATACTTTTTTGTATGCACGTGCTAGCTGAGCCTGCAGTACTTGTTGTAAGATAGGAAATTAGTGTCTGAAGTTTTCTATTGAGTCTGTTGATGAAGTCTTGTAGATGTTTACGTTCGGTTTGTTCTCTCCACAATTCCTTGCCTGTGTTTTGACTTCTCGTAGTGACAATGAAAGGATGTGTTTTTGTCTCTTTCGTTTTATTCTTTGCAAGTCTGTCCGACAACTTATTTCCTGCTTTGCCGCAGTAAGCCTGGGCCCACCGGAGAACGATCTGATCCTTTTGGGAGAGTTTCGGAAAATCCTTTACTTATCGACAAGTAACCCTAGTAAAATTAGTGAGGAACAGTGTGGATTTGTGGAAGGAAATTGTACAAATAATGTCATTTGTGTCCTCAGGAATCTGTTGGAAAGCGCTAAAGAATTTTTTTTAAATTATTTTTTTTTTGTTACTAATGCTCATTGACTATTCAAAAGCATTTGATTGTGCGAAACACCAATAGATAATCACATTGGAAAAGTTTGACACTGATAGAAAATATTTACGAATTATAAAGAACATGCATAGGCACAATAGCAGCTTTAAGAGTTAATAGCCATTTGAAAACATTTCAGAGCATAAAGAGGCAAGCACGACAAGGATGTGTACTGTCACCTTATGTGTTTTCATTATATATATATATCCTAAACAAAAGTAAAGATCCCTTTACACGCCCTTAGGCGCATCGGGCATATGTGAAGAGCACCCTTATTTTTACAGACCAATCGGCACTCGGGGGTTATGTTACGTCGCCGTCTTTACTTCCCCAGGACAGCCATTCTGGTACCCATTTGAGGCTGTGTCGACCTGCGACGTCCCATACCACAATAAAAATCCAGGCAGCCCGCAGTGGGTTTCGATCGCGGTACGTTGGATTACGAGTCAGACTCGCAACGCCTTAGCCACGAACGCCGCGTTTTCATTATATAGTGAGTATATAATTAGATCAGTCACTGATATGTAAGGAATTGCGGTTGATGGTCATAACAGAAACAAACTACGTTATGCTGGTAAAACAGTCCTGATAGCGACAATGCAGAAAGAACTACAAGACAGAGGTAACGGCGATTTTCAAGAAAATAATAGTGCCTAAATGTATATTAAAAGTCTAAGGCGTTTTTTTTTAAGGACAAGTACATACATTTAATCATCTGGGCGCATGGTTAACATCCGATGGAAGATGTATCACAGCGATGAAGCATAGAAAAGAAGACAAAACTGCATTTTACAAAATGCCAACTAGACTACAAATATCTTAAGGAACACAAACATAAACATTCCAGATTACAACAAATCAACAATAAGCACTCACGGCAGACTGTGATAAATCTTGGTATCCCTGCTTGCTCTTCTCCACAAAGGAAAACGCCACAAGTTGAAGAACAAGAAAGCCAAAATAAATGTAGAAGCAGACGAACCGTAACAAGTCTGAGTCTTGAACCTAGGGATGGCAGCAACATGCAATCCGTTGTTATACTAGTTAGAAAAATGTGGATATTAATAAAGATAGAGCTTTAAAAAAAAAATAAGTTAATGGTATTTAATTTGGCGGATATGTAAATTAGTCCTAATCTCTCTCTCTCTCTCTCTCTCTCTCTCTCTCTCTCTCTCTCTCTCTCTCTCTCTCTCTTGTTTGGCGGGGTGTACCTTCCCTTTATTTTAACTTTGTATGTTTGCGAGTATAGTGTTTTCTTGCTATCGTGTTTGTATGTTTCTTGTATTTTATTAGTCTGTATTACATATGTTGCCGTTTATGAGTATTTGTGGTGTTATGTGTAAGTAAATCAGAAAATAAAAACACCGGAATAGAAGGGTATGTGGGAAGTCAGTAATAGGAGGCACATGGACCTTTTTGTTAGTTGTAAGCCTGTCTCTCTTTGGTGGAAAGTCTTTCATAAGTCTGTTTATCCATCCACGGTTTTAAAAAAGTGTTTTAGTTTTTGTTGAGGTTTTGTTCGTCCACCCAGTACGTAAAAAAGTCATCTGCTTTTTTCTTTAAATATCTCCTTGTGATAATGATAATAGAATTAAATTTCTGTAAGCTCCTCCAGTTTGTGTTCTTCACGTTGTTGCGCTGCGTAGTTTTGTACTCTCCCCTCAGAATGTTTCTTGTGTGTTTGGTAATAAAATTCTACTTTTGCAGGAATTCTGCCGAAATAGCTTCTTAGTACTGGTTCGTGTTTTTTCATTTCATTGATCTTTACCTATCATTCTTTCTAAGTCTTTCTTCACTTGACTGGTGTTGTGTTATTTTCCGCCTTAGTTTTTAGTCTTTTTGGTTCTGAGTCCGTATATTCGTTGGCAAAAGTCGTTCCTTTAACTTGGTTGGTTTCTGTCTTATTATCTTTAAATGATTGTGACGATGCTGACGGTTCTGTGATGATAGTGGCCATTCAGTGACTTTCTCCATTGAGAGGTTGGACGTTTCAGCTTTCTGTGGTTTCTTTGCCACTGTTTCTGTAGGTTGTGGGTTCTTTCCGGAAATCTCGGTCGTTGTAGTTGAATGGGTTGGTTTGCTTCTTGTCCTCATGTCCAGGAATTTGTTGCACTAATGGTCATCACGGGAATCTCCACCACGTTGTAGTTGGGTGTGTCCCGCTAGGGTCTGCACATCGCTTCCCATTTCCTTTCAGCATAATGAATTTGGAAAACCTCTGGAGTACTGTCTCCTGTGATAGCCTTGACAATGTCCACAACTCCCTCTTTGTTCATTTGGTTCGGAAGAAAGTTTAGGGTAAGTCGTTTGCGTTCTTTTTTATTTCCATAGTGATCGACTCGACAAGTGATGTCTCCCTTTATCCGGGTCACTGTCTTCTCATGTAGTGTGTGAAACATGCTCTTGTGACACGCTGGCGACAGGCAGAAAAACCCTTGGGTTTCTTCTTCTTCTTCTTTCTTCTTCTTCTTCTTCTTCTTCTTCTTCTTCTTCTTCTTCTTCTTCTTCTTCTTCTTCTTCTTCTTCTTCTTCTTCTCCTCCTTCTTCTTCTTCTTTTTCTTTTTCTTCTTCTTCTCCTTCTTCTTCTTCTTCTTCTTTTTCTTCTTTTCATCTTCTTCTTCTTCTTTTTCTTTTTCTTCTTTTCATCTTCTTCTTCTTCTTCTTCTTCTTCTTCTTCTTCTTCTTCTTCTTCTTCTTCTTCTTCTTCTTCTTCTTCTTCTTCTGCTGCTGCTGCTGCTGCTGCTGCTGTCTCTTCTTCTTCTTCTTATTCTTCCTCTACTACTACTACAACTACAACAACAACTAGTACTACTGCTGCTGCTGCTACTAATACTTCTACTACTACTACTACTACTACTAATACTACTACTACTACTACTACTACTACTACTACTACTACTACTACTACTACTACTACTACTACTACTACTACTACTACTACTACTACTACTACTACTACTACTACTACTTCTACAACTACTACGTCTCTTTCGTCTTTGTCCACTTCTCCTACTCTGCTCCTTTCTTCTTCTCTTCATCCTTCCCTCCCTCACCTCCTGTGCTTATGCTAATGTGAGTATCAATGTAACATCTGGCTGGTATAGAAGGAATTAGGCGACTTTGTCACATTGGATGTAAGAGTTAAACCAAGAGTGACGCGGGTAGGTGGAAAAGTCAAACACAGAACTCACCTCTTCCACGAGATAGCTGTAAAAGTTTACAATAGAGGCGATCACCATGAGGAAGTAGAATGGCCATTGAAGCATGGATATTGTAGCACCTCTGCTTCGCTCTATTTGTATGAGAATCAGCGACCAGAACTGAAACGATAGAAGTTTGATAATGTGAATATTTATATGTTAATATATGTCTGTCTATTTGCCTGCCTGTTTGGCTGACCGTTGACGGTCACCTTTTTGAGATGTTCTGGTAATCGTTATCACTTGTCGCTGTATCTGCAGCGTAATCAATCCATCAGCACGTTCCTTTTAAAATAATTGAAAATTTGGCTATTTTAGTAACTTTTTGAAAAGATCGTTCTTTATGCATGTATGTATGTATGTATGTATGTATGTATGCATGTTTCTTTGTATGTATGGATGTCTGTACGTATGTATTTATGTATGTTTGTACGCTTATGTGTGTATGTTTCTTTGTATGTATGGATGTCTGTACGTATGTATTTGTGTATGTTTGTACGCTTACGTATGTATGTTTGTTAGTATGTATGGATGTATGTACGAATGTAATTATGTATGTTTGTACGCTTTTGTATGTATATTTCTTTGTATGTATGGATGCATGTACGTATGTATTTATGTATGTTTGTACGCTTATGTATGTATGTTTCTTTGTATGTATGGATGTATGTACGTATGTATTTATGTATGTTTGTACGCTTATGTGTGTATGTTTCTTTGTATGTATGGATGTCTGTACGTATGTATTTATGTATGTTTGTACGATTATGTATGTATGTGTTTTTCTTTGTATGCATCGATGCATGTACGTATGTATTTATGTATTATGTAAGTATGTATGCAGAAACGTAGATAGGTAAGTGTGTAGATAGGTATGTATGTATGTAGGTAGGTGGGTGGGTATGTATATATGTATGTATGTATGTATGTATGTATGTATGTATGTATGTATGTATGTATGTATGTATGTATGTATGTATGTATGTATGTATGTATGTATGTATGTATGTATGTATGTATGTATGTATGTATGTATGTATGTATGTATGTATGTATGTATGTATGTATGTATGTATGTATGTATGTATGTATGTATGTATGTATGTATGTATGTATGTATATATGTATGTATGTATGTATGTATGTATGTATGTATGTATGTATGTATGTATGTATGTATGTATGTATGTATGTATGTATGTATGTATGTATGTATGTATGTATGTATGTATGTATGTATGTATGTATGTATATTTGTATATATGTATGTATGTATGTGTGTGCGAGTGGGTGTGGGTGTGCGTGTGTATCTGTATCTCAGCCACACTTTGTGTACGATTTCCTTTTACTCCTCTAAGTCTATTTACCCAATTCGCCAGAAGATGTTAGAAGACTGAAGCTTCATAGAAGACTGGGCTTCATACACATTAGTAGATGACCAAACCGTTCCAATTTCTGCCGCCATGTAGATTATATATGGGTTTTTTATATCTTTTAGAATCCATAGCCGTTATCTTAGCCGCACACAATACAAATACAAATTAACGAACTTTTACCCCAAAGAATTTAGAACTGGGCATACAGGACCAATCTAGCACGCTACGTTTCAAGTAAAATTGTTCTTGCTAACTTACGAAACAAGCCACTTTGAGTCCCTCAGAGACGTAGAGGACATCGGGAATTTCCTCCTGCAGACTGTCTGTTGCCTTGGCGATGAGCAGAACCAGAGATACAATCAAAAGAGCCAGGGAGAAGCTCTGAAAAAGAAAAGAAAAAAAACAATGAAAACATAGTTACATTGGATATAGAAGTAAACGCGGTCGGCGTCATGTTGACCACATCATAAACTCAAAGTCCACTGGGATGGAAAAGGTCCTATAGATTTGTAGGGAAGGTTACAAACAGCTTTATTGCAGGAAGCTGTCTTGTCTATGCCAGCTATAGCAAAAGATCATGTTGAATGATCAATTAAGAATCAATATCACAGCACTCGGTTCATTCATATAAGCGCTCCGCCCTCATCGTCAGCAGCAAGCTCAGAGTTCCAACTCCGACGGTCGCAGTGTGTATCTCATTGAATATCCATCTCGCCTTTCCATTGAGTGTTCAGCGTCCCCGAAATCCTCTGGCTATTCCTTACAGCACCATTCTCCTCCGACCGTTCTGATCTCTTTGTGGCTTCGCACTGTTAACTCGGTCCCAGATGACCCTTAAAACATCTGGCATGTCATAGATAAATTCCCCATGCTTTACGTTTATGTGCTTTATGTCGTATCGACATACGGTGCTATGCCCAAACTTGTCAACCCCAATCAGGTGATTTACTGCTCATACAGGCCGTCAAATCATCCTAGGACGTCTTCTGATGACGTTCTTTCTAAGTGTTATCCAGCTGGCAAAGTAGGCCCTTTTTTTCAGAAACGCCCATTTAATTCGGATTTTAACTTATGGCTGTCGAGCTGACGGGCAAGTTTGCTAGTTATTGCACTTTCTCGGTTCACAAACGATGGGTTCGTTTAGGTTTTATTGCATAAGTCTGACTTCTTAGGGTACGTGTTACATTTACTAATAATATATTACAATATTACAATATATATATATTACAGGATAGGCATTAAAGAATCTGCTGCCTGTGATTGTGGAGCAGAAAGACAGACCCCTGAGCACATACTGCAGTACTGCCCTAACCTCTCCCAGCAAAGACTGTGGATCTGGCCCAAGGGAGCCACATTGCGAGAGAAGCTCCACTAAAATTAACACGAAATAAATAAATACCAATACATTTTAAGAAGGAATGTTTAATTTCTTAAGTGTGCAATGCTCTTTATTTCTCTTTCTCTCTCCCCTCTCATTTCTCTCTCTCTCTCTCTCTCTCTCTCTCTCTCTCTCTCTCTCTCTCTCTCTCTCTCTCTCTTAAATAAAACATTTATACATATACGGTGAAGGTTGTGATTTTTTCACGTGGACTTCTAGTAATTTCCCCTGGTCTCTGTGAGGTAAGACTGAAGGCCTGTGTGCATTGCTGCGGACGTAGGAAGAATTGGAGTTAAAAATCTACGGAAAGTATTTGATTATCCTGGCCGGTGTAATGGAGTTAGTGCACAGTGCTGAGACTTTTAGACTCGCGCTTGAGTTAGAAGTAGAACTTATGTATGTATGCATACATGTGCCATGATGTTGATCAGTCGACTACACTAAACATATATATATATATATTCGATCATAACAAATGCCAGCTGTTAGTTTTAAAAAAAAAAAAAAAAACAATATCATAATTATCACCAACATCATTCTGAAACATGTGATTTGCAGAACAATGTTCATTGTGAATCAAGAATAATTTACACACACACACACACACACACACACACATACACACAAACAACTCACATATCACACAAACACACCCACACAGTATTGCTGAAGCTAGAGTTGGCGTTTCGTATCAGTTATTGGTCAGCCATTCTGAACAGAGGGAAGCTAAGCAGTGTACTAGTAGTAGTAGATTTCACCCAACCATGACATCACACAAGCAATAAACACCCGACGACACAAACTGCCACCATGTGGATGAGGATCACCCGTGGAGAAGTCCCAGAAACCGCGTTCAGCCATTAGACCATCTTTATGGCCAGGCTATATTGCGGCCCTTGGCAAGAACCAGGGTGGGGCTTCGAAATAACGAAAAATTGCATCCAGCAAGGGGATGACGGATGTGATAATATATAGGATAATAGTAGTAGATGTTTACCCAACTAGGACATCACACAAGCGATAAACACCCGACGACACAATGTGCCACCATGTGAATAAGGATCCCTCGTGGAGAGGTTCCGGAAACCGCGTTCAGCCATTAGACCATATTTATGGCCGGGCTATATTGCGGCCCCTGGCTAGAACCAGAGAAGGGCTTCAAATAATAAAAAATTGCATCTCACAAGGAGATGACCGGATTATTCTGTAAAAATAGGATATATATAGGATGAAATCTGATGCAACATAGTGGATCGGTTAACCTTTAAACCTCTGTTTAAACACTTCTTGCATTAACTGAATGGCAGTATGGAAAAAAAAAAAGCTAAATTTAACACTAGAGAGACACCAAACTTTACAAGACAACAAGAGTAACAATTACCAGACGTACACTTGTCCTATACTTACCATTTTCAGCAAGTTTAGACATGACACGGGCAGAGGAACCCGCCGTCTCCTCCCTAGAACATAGACAAGGTACAAAGGGGAGGCGATCAGAAACAACAGACATGGCAGCCAGATCAGGGCCACGTGCCGGAAGCATTCGGTGAACTGTGGGTAGGAACCTTCTAGCAGAAGTGTTTGGTTCTGGCGGGAAAACGGTCATTAAATAAAAGTAAAATCTATCAACATGCATCTTTATCACATAGTTAACCTCTGCTTTCCATGGCTCATCAATGAAATGATTAGTCTGGGATTCAACGTCACGCTTTTTTATTTATTTTTTAAGTGCTGTTTTTTGTGTGTGTGTGTGTGTGTGCTGCCTTTTAGGTGACTGGAACCAAAGATCTTCGGTCTGGGGAGCTCAGACGTTGGCTGCTGCTATAAAGATGAAGATCAAATTAAGTGCGAGTAAAAGTCCTGGGAAGTAAAAGCGGTCGGCGTGATGTTGACCACATCACCCATCCATCTGTGGCGAAGTCGTCAGTCCGTTTCCCTAACCTTCTTCTGCTTCTTCTTCTTCTCTTCTTCTTCTTCTTCTTCTTCTTCTTCTTCTCCTTCTTCTTCTTCTTCTTCTTCTTCTTCTTCTTCTTCTTCTTCTTCTTGTTCTTCTTCTTGTTCTTCTTCTGATGCTTGTTCTTCTTCTTCTTCTTCTTCTTCTTCTTCTTCTTCTTCTTCTTCTTCTTCTTCTTCTTCTTCTTCTTCTTCTTCTTCTTTCTTTCTTTTTCTTTTCTTCTTCTTCTTCTTCTTCTTCTTCTTCTTCTTCTTCTTCTTCTTCTTCTTCTTCTTCTTCTTCTTCTTCTTCTTCTTCTTCTTCTTCTTCTTCTTCTTTCTTCTTCTTCTTCTTCTTCTTCTTCTTCTTCTTCTTCTTCTTCTTCTTCTTCTTCTTCTTCTTCTTCTTCTTCTTCTTCTTCTTCTTCTTCTTCTTCTTCTTCTTCTTCTTCTTCTTCTTCTGATGCTTATTATTTTTATTTATTTATTATTATTTTTTTCTTATTATAATAATTATTTTTTTCTTCCTGTTCTTCTGCGTTCATCCGAAGATGTAATTACTTTGTGCCCGTTTAAAGCATGGCTGTGAAATTCGCGCCTTTCGGCCGACACATCCGACTTCTGCAGGCATTTGTTGACCGGGTTAGCCTTTCCGGTTAAACCCCTGCCGTTCTAAACTCTAACAGTGGAGAGTTCGCTTTTGAAATGTGTGGCTCGGTTCACAATTGCAACTATTTCAGGGATTTTTGTCAATCATCGTTGGATCTTGGGGTGAGATTCTCGACAGTTGGTCAGCCCCGCTGGAGAAATGGGCAGTGAGAGAGAGAGAGACAGAGGACAGCAGAAAGACAAGAGGAGAGAGAGTGAGAGGACAGCAGAAAGAGGGGAGGAGAGAGAGAGCGGACAACAGAAAGACAAGAGAAGAGAGAGGGAGAGGACAACAGAAAGAGGAGCGGAGAGAGAGAGAGGAGGAGAGGTGCAGTAGTAGCTGTGACATGTCCTCTCTAAAATCGTATGTACTTTATATTAGTAGCAATCTTAGATTATCGCCAAGTTAACATATTACATCTATAACCTGGGGGCTGATGCCCCTTTAAGGCCCCCACCTCACCCAATTCAATTTTAGGGTAAACCTAAGCCCCCTACACCTACCCCCCCCCCCCCCCGTCTATTCCCTCTAACATTTTAAGAACAGGTATTCACCCCCACCCCCTCCCCAAATCCCTTGACTTCCAACCATGTATAGATATCAATGTTCAAGCTGTTCATATAGTACATATTATTTCAAATACATATACATATTTCTTTTGTCATTCACTACTTTATTATTTGTAAGCACTTGAACAAAGCTAAAGCAACATAAGCCCCTCTCTCCCTGGAAAATTAGTAACGGGGAGCTAGGAATACCAATGTTTTCTTTGTACTGGCGCTCCTGTAGCAAAAGCACAGACAGATATAAAGTAACCCAAATCAAGAAAGTTGGCAACTGTTACAGACGAAGGGAGAGAAGAAGATAAGTAATAACTGCTGTGCCTACAGCACTCAATAAATGTAACTCTTTTTTTTAATGGCGGTACGGTATAGTACACAGTACGGTCACCTGTTATAAGAGTAATTTATTTAGTGCTACTGTAATAGACACTTTGGGGGAGCGCCGTCACCTTGTTGAGTATGTTCAGTGGGTTTGGTCCAAAGATAGTGACTGGAGTCTCTAAGACGGTCAGAGCTGATGCATATGAGGGTAAAAGTAATGTTTCGCTCCCCAGATCCCGCCCATATAAACTTCTGTTTGGTAGACATTCAG